TTTAATGATATATTTTTTTCTTCAATATTTAAAAAGGTCTAATTAAATTGGTGATGAAGGTGCATCAGGCTTAGGTTCTGCTATAGCAAATTGCATTAATATCTCAAATTTGACACTTGACCTTAAGTAAAAACAATTTATTTGTTTTGGATTGTGATATTTTAAATTATAAAAACTAATTAAAAACAATAAAGCTCTTTTTTCTTTTTCTTTTTCTTTTTATTGTGCTTGCTTTTTTTTTGTTCTTTTTTTGTTAATTTAGTTCATCATTTTATTTTCAACTTTTGCTTTTATTATTTATTTCTTATTATTTCATATTTTTTCTTCATTTTTTCCTTATAATTAACTATTTAATGATATATTTTTTGTTCAATATTTAAAAAGTAACAATTAAATTAGTGATGAAGGTGCATCAGGCTTAGGTTCTTCTTTAGCAAATTGCATTAATCTCTCAAATTTGACACTTGACCTTAGGTAAAAACAATTTATTTGTTTTGGTTTGTGATATTTTAAATTATAAAAACTAATTAAAAACAATAATACTCTTTTTTCTTTTTCTTTTTATTGTGCTTGCTTTTTTTTTGTTCTTTCTTTGTTAATTTAGCTCATCATTTTATTTTCAACTTTTGCTTTTATTATTTATTTCTTATTATTTCATATTTTTTCCTTTAATTAACTATTTAATGATATCAATATTTAAAAAGTTACAATTAAATTGGTGCATCAGGCTTAGGTTCTGCTATATCAAATTGCATTAATCTCTCAAATTTGACATTTTACCTTTAGTAAAAACAGTTTATTTGTTTTGGATTGTGATATTTTTAATTATAAAAACTAATTAAAAACAATAATACTCTTTTTTCTTTTTCTTTTTATTGTGCTTGCTTTTTTTTTGTTCTTTTTTTGTTAATTTAGCTCATCATTTTATTTTCAACTTTAGCTTTTATTATTTATTTCTTATTATTTCATATTTTTTCTTCATTTTTTCCTTATAATTAACTATTTAATGATATATTTTTTGTTCAATATTTAAAAAGTAACAATTAAATTGGTCATGAAGGTGCATCAGGCTTAGGTTCTTCTTTTGCAAATTGCATTAATCTCTCAAATTTGACACTTGACCTTAAGTAAAAACAATTTATTTGTTTTGGATTGTGATATTTTTAATTATAAAAACTAATTAAAAACAATAAAGCTCTTTTTTCTTTTTTTTATATTGTGCTTGCTTTTTTTTTGTTCTTTTTTTGTTAATTTAGTTCATCATTTTATTTTCAACTTTTGCTTTTATTATTTATTTCTTATTATTTCATATTTTTTCTTCATTTTTTCCTTATAATTAACTATTTAATGATATATTTTTTGTTCAATATTTAAAAAGTAACAATTAAATTGGTCATGAAGGTGCATCAGGCTTAGGTTCTTCTTTTGCAAATTGCATTAATCTCTCAAATTTGACACTTGACCTTAAGTAAAAACAATTTATTTGTTTTGGATTGTGATATTTTTAATTATAAAAA